CTTAAGAATCGAGTTTTCAATATATGTGGAACCGATATTCATACCAATTTGGAATTGATTGATTCCGACATATTTGGAATCGAGTTTCTGATGTATGTGGAATCGAGATTCATGCCAATTTGGAATCGGGATTCATATTGGTTTAGAATTGAGCTGGATCCCAACTGGCAAACGAGATTTGTAACTCTATGTAGTCAAGTACAAAGCCCCATAAAAACAAGTTTCCTATATCAACAGCATCTTGTGCTTTATAAACTTAGAACCTATTTAAGCAATCAATATCAAATGTCTCTTATTAGACTTGTAAAAGGGTACTTCAGATTTGAAGTCAATGTATTGACTATTGAACTTAGGGTCAAGTAGTCCACTAGGGAAATTATCTACAAAAGATAAAAATTTTATCCCACGTATTTCTAAATTGTGATCTCAATTTCATTATTATATAGACAAAATACGATTTTCTCTATACCATGGTATTTGTTGTATGTATTGTAGTTACCAATTACACTGTAAAGAAAAGGCAATCCATCCTAACACTAATAGAAATGTGATTCGAGCCAGTCCTATTACTATTAGAAGCATTCACACTATTAAAAGCATTCGAATGAAGATTTCTACTCCAATTACCTTTAAAAAGTGGTAACCATTTAGGAAATTGGATATTATGTACTTCAAATTGTCTTTTTTATTATTTTATTTATTTTATTTTATTGTTATTTTATTGTTATTTTTTTGCTTACATGCACATTATGCAATTGTGGTAGGAGAGAAATTCAGTCTAAACATCAAGCACACGCATGGATACATTATTGCATGAATTAAAAAACAACACGTAGGTAGAGATATATTTTGACATCAAATTCGTATCTTATGGAGGTCGAAGCAAAATTTTGCATTGATTGAATTGCAGTTCCCTACTCCTACGATTCGAGGTATTTTATGTTGTGATTCTAGATTCAAAACCATAACGAATAAATATTCATCATATGTGGAATCATAAATCAACACACGTGCAATCAAAGATTAAACAAATATCGGAATTGAGATTAGAAAAATTTGGGGCCGAGATTCCACAAATAATGGAATCGAGACTCCTAAAAAGGTATGAAACGAGATTCCTAAGTTCCAAGAAACGGTTTCTGTGAAGATCCCTTGTCAGAATCGCCGAATTAGGATTTCGAACAGGAATCACGACCTCAGTAGAGAGATTTGGGTAACTATGGGCTAGACTTTTCAACAAGATTAGGAGAACAAAGAAAACGCCAGAAGAATGGCAAAAAGGTATTATGATACCTATTTACAAAAACAAATGAGACATACAAAGTTGTACAAACTACTGCAGGATCAAACTTATGAGTCACACAAGGTCTTTCTTTGTTTAGAAAAAGCATACAATAGCGTACTCACTTCTTAGACAGTTAATTTGATAGGTGTTAGAAAAAAAATGGAGCATCTAGGGCATATTAACATTGTGAGGGAAATATACGAGGGAGCGCTAATTAGTGTGAGTACAATTAGTGGATAGACAAGTAAATTTTCAGTGACAGTAGGCCTAAATCACGGTTAACGTTGAGCCCATCTCTCTTTGTTTTGGTTATAGACGAGTTAACTAAGCATCTAAAGGATGAAGTACTATGGTGTATGTTGTTTATGAATGGCATAACTTCAATTGATGAGACTAGAGAAGGCATCAATGCAAAGTTAGAAATGACAAATTAGTTAAGATTGGCAGCCAAGAAGTACCTACAAGAGATTATTTTCAATATCTAGGGTTGATAATTCATGAGAATGGAGTGAATGAAGAAGATGTCATGGATAAAACTAGAGCTGGGTGGACGAAATGGAGATGTACTTTTGGAGTCTTAAGTGATCATTGCATACTAATGAAACTGAAGGGAAAGTTCCATAAGATAGTTGTAAAACCAGCCATGATGTATGGGACGGAATTTGGGTAGTCAAATAACAACATGCCCATAGAACGAATGTAGCTAAGATAAAGATGTTTAGATGGATAAGTGGCAAGACAAGAAAAGATTAGTATTTGGAATAAAGACATCCGAGGGAACTTATGGGTAATTACAATAGGCAGAAATATAAGGCAAAGTAGACTTAGGTGGTATGGTCATGTGCAGTGTCAACCTAGAACAACACTAGTTCCGAGGGGTGATGTGGTTCAAGTGGAAAGCTCTAAAAAGGCAACGAAAAGGCCCAAAAGACATGGATAGAAATAGTAAGAACAAATATGGTGTCTTATGATATGACTGATGATGTGGCTATTGATAGAGCAGAAAGGCAGAATAAGATTGGTGTAGCTAACCTCAAATAGTTGGGATACAGCTAGGAGGATGATGATATAAATCATCCAACACCCTTTCCTTCAATTTTTCTGAGTAAGTTCTTGATGCAACGGCTACAGACCATCATTGCATGGCAATCATTTGCGCTATACAACATGTACCATACCCCGCTTTTTGAAAATGTCATCTATAGATGAGAGAAATCCAAAGCAATGGGACCTAGTATACAAAGCTAATAGGCTCCAAACTTTGTTGGCTCCTAATCATCCCCCACGTGGAAGCACATGGAAATCAGTTTTAAATGTACAATTTTTCACCGTCTACACACTTATCTTTCTTGGGACAACACGTGACAACCTTTCTTCAAGCAATGGAGGGATCGATGAAGTTTTAGGTGCTGCCCAAGACAATAAAGATGGTTATAAGCTGACATTTGTTGAAACCACACATACAAATTCTTTGTTGATGACAAGGAGTCGGAGAGAGCAGCATGGATATTTCAGGTTGTTGGTCACTCTCATCCATCTCACCTTTCTTTGGATCAACTTCATGCTCAGGGCCCTCCCCATCCTTACAATCTGGTCAGCTTCCCGCCATAAGAGTCGCTACTTTTCTTGCATTGATGGCCCTGCGTAAATTTCTCATTACAATTATAGCATGACCCCCTTTTTCTCTTTTCAACCATTCCTCAGGTGTGAGACAACAAAGAATGGGATGTAGGTAGCTTGAGGATTCTCAATTGGTGGGGCAAGTGAGTAAGACCCCCCTGGGGTAGACTTGCTTGTTGCCGACGCAGTGTGATCTTCTCAACTTGAAGTTTTGCTAGCCCAATTGCAGTCACCAATTTCATCACCCTGAACATTTACATTTGAACATCAAAAAAAGCTCATCCTTTAACCCACATACAAAGCAAATAACAATGCCTTGGACAACCCAGTTGTCTGACTGGCAAGCTTTTTCTCACTCTACCTGATATTCCTTGTAGTTGCTTGTATACACCGCGTAGCCAACACCTTGGAGAAACTTTCAAACTCGGTAGACGAAAATCTTGCCCATAATGCATACGTGAATATCTTCCATGTCATCACCACTGTAATCTATTCCATCCATCGATACCATTTGAGAGTCTCTTTTTCAAGAATGAAAATAATCCATTGTTACCTTTTTGTGTTCTGGGATCTGGTGATAGGCAAAGATTTGATCAGCTTTGTAGATCCACCAGGTTAGATCGTCTCCATTGAAATAGGGGAACTCGAGTCTTTGATGGGGAACTCAAGTCTTACGTGTATGAATGGATCCTACAAATCCGATCAGGTAGACCCCAATATTGGCTCTGATCTTGGGTGTCTTGTAATGGATTTGTCGCCTGACACTTCTTTGACTGATCATATTAGGAGTCTATGGAAGAGAGTTTTTTTAAAATCTCACCAAATATTCATTGCTTGTTTTGAATTTTCCTTCAACACTACAAATTCAGATCAAACCTTTTATATGCTTCTAGTAGAACTTCTTGTCCACATGTTCTGTCCGCCATGTCCAAGGTCATATGGCTCTAATACCAAATGTAACAACCTTAGGTTATTAAATTAAGAGAAAAAGAGAAAAGGTGGGAAGAGTTTCTCTTCGTGCGAAAACATGACTCCACAACTGAATTGATTCCTTTCTTATCCTCCTCGTACTCGTCCTTCAACATTTACTTATAACCTTTGGCTACACCAACTCATAGACACCACAACAACCCTTCCTTACTCCCAACTCATAGACACCACAACCCTTCCTTACTCAAAAGACAATAATCCCACCCAAAATCTCCTAACAAGATCTCACTCGACAAGTAACAACCTAATAACCTTATCTTACCATAATACTAGAACTCTACTTAAAGGGAAAAAAGAAAAAAGTGACATCAGCTAGCAGCCATATATAAAGTAATGAAGCGAACCTAACACCAGTGAAGATTACATTAAAAATCTCATATACATGATAAAGGTAGCGGAATCAAGCCATTTTGCACAATTCAAGATATCTATCAGAGATTCCAATTCAAGGCATCCATTAGAAAAGCTACAACCCAATTTCATGGATCGTATAAATCTCTGTGAAAAGTTTGCAATTCTACTCGACACAACTCAAAAGATCATCTCCCATGTCTAAATTCATTAAAGCATGTTCAGCTAAGAAATGTAGGCCATGTGAAACGACGCAAAAAAGCAAAGAGCATCACCGTTAGCATAAAATCATTTACATTCCAGTACACATGAATCATGGTTTACCATATAAAAGAGTCTAGAGTTCATTCTAAAAGTGCAAAACACCACCTCTATTCAAGACCTGAGCACTGAAAAAGTCCAACATTTAATAAGCAAACAAGCACAATTTTTCATGTCTATAGCAATAAAATAGGGACAAATAAGTCACACCAGAAAAGAGAAATAATGAAGCATACACAGATCAGAGAAATAATGAAGCATATACAGATGATCATATCCTAAAAAACAACTGATCCATGGAAGTTGGGCTGAAAATACATAAAATCCTGACAGAAACCCATATCAATATTCATACATAAATCTCCACTGATAAAACATTCCATATCAGAAAAGAAAAGAAGAAAACAGAGACGTTTCCCAAGATCAAATTGAAAAACCAGAAGAAGATAGAAAAAGAGAGAAAAAAAATCAGAACTTAAAGAAGGATGGGAACCTTGCGATTGAAGAAGGTAAATTGAGAAGAACATCCCTGACAGTGCGATGCGTCAATAACCCAATTGCTCCCACGAAGAGATGGTTTTGCAGGCAGCCCAATTTTCTCTAACATTTTTTCCTTCTAATTCGAGTAACAATCGGAAAATCAAAGAGGCCCAAAAATTAATGACTCCTTTACAGAGTCCAATCTTCTTCGCTCGTATCCTATTTTCGTTTCTTCTGCTGAAATCGGCACGGAAGGATAAGTTTTTAGGGGGCTAGTGTGGTTAAATTTTACATTTGGTCGTGCAACCAAAATATAATCTCCTGCTGGACTATATCTATCCATCTACTCTATCGAGGCAAAACTTATACTAGGGATAGTTTTTGGGATTTGTATACAAGGAGACCATTTATCTATTCTATAATACTACATCATTAAGCAAGAGTTATAGGGTGGACACCGGTCGCGAAATAAGAAGAGACCTTAATGTTATAGAGGTTGTAGGACATATAGCCGATGTTTAGGGGAAGAGAAAGAGACTAAAATGTTGTAAGTGTAGACTATAGATTTTAAGAAAAGATAGATAAAGTAGAGATTTTAGGAAGAGAGATATTATTTCCATAACTTATTGAGAAATAGGAGAATTTGAGAGATTTAAGAAGAAATTTTGATAAGGAAATAGAGTATGTACAAAATAGAGAGAATGAGAGATTTTAGGAGAGATTTTGAGAAGGAGAAAGAGTACGTGCAAGAGAGAGGAAGGAGAAGAGGAAAAAAAGGGAAAAGAGAAAGAGAGTTCAATCTATTTCTCACCTACTTCTTAAATTCTATAGTTACCATTTCTTCACCTAAAATATCTCTCACATGCTGATAGAGAGAGATTTCATATCTCACGCTACGTTAAGACTTTTATTTTAATTAGGTTTAGAAGTTTTATAAATAGAGGTCTCTCAACCTCTCAACATAGTTTCACGAGCTCCTCTTAACAAGGTGTACTTTGTTGTTTTTTTCTCTTCATCTCTCTTTCTGTTTACACGTGAGTTTTATAAATTTATTGATTTATGGTTTTTAGTTTGTTGTTTGATATTAAAGAAGTTATGGCTTTTTAGTTTTTTTAATCAATATTTTGGCTATTTGATGTGAGAAGTTGAGTTAAGTATATGTTAGGAATTTTGATGGTTATTGCATGCTTTTCATGTTATTCTTCTATGTTTGGTAATGAAATTTTGGATAAAAGAATCTTAAGATTTTGTTCATGGATGACTTTTTCGTTTTTTAATCAATGTTTTGGCTATTTGAAGTAAGAAGTTGAGTTAAGTATATGTTAAAAATTTTGATGGTTATTGCATGCACTTCATGTCATTCTTCTGGTTTTTGGTAGTGAAATTTTGAAAAAAATAATCTTAGGATTTTGTTCATGCATACATTGAGATACCCATCTAATTTTCTTGGGCATCTGCTTTATATATTTGAGCCTCATGTCACTTTATATAGTATCATTATGTTCCAACACTGAAACTGCCTAAACATCGACTAATAGAGTATTATTATGGGAAACTATTAATGTTATTTAAGATGAATATACCGATTTATGGTGAACCCTTCTTCTAATATTTTTGCAAAGTTTTTGTAATTTTGTACATTTTATTTTTAGATGAGATAGGTGCGAGAATGGTAGGATTTATTTTCATGATCTTTCCTTTTGTGGGTTTTTTTTACTGATGATGGTGGATTGTTATTCAAAATTAGAATACCTATCCCTATTGTCACTATCCTTTGATATTTAAAATAAAAAATATCATTGCTACCCTCAAGATCGTATGATTTTGTCTTTTATCTCTCTCTACTCTCCAAATCTATAAGCTCCAATATATTTATTTTTTCTCTCTTATCCAAGAATCTCTTTCTAAGTAATCAAGCAGCCGAAGCATGGGTATGATCTGTCACATTACTAATCTACGGAGGTAATCTACATCCAAAGGGATAATAATATCACAATACTAAATGATTTATGATGGTCTTAAAATATATTTTCATCTTTAATTGTAAATTAATGTGATCACTTCCTTGGGAAAGAATTCAATAGTCAATGGACTATAGAAGGCACATAGATTTTCAAGACAAACAAATTTAGAAGTAGACCTTAGTTGTATAGTAATTTTCACCCATATGTCAAAGTGGGATGATTCAAAACTCTTTCTCTCTCTTTCACCCATATGTCAACAAAGGGGGATGATTCAAAACTCTCTCTCTCTCTCTCACTCAGGGTGTGTTTGTTTTTCTAAAAAATTTCTTTTAAAAAGAAATCTTTCTAATTTTTCAAAAGTTCCGCGTTTGAATATATATTATATTTATATTATTATATTATATAATATAGAAATATCTTATATTATACTAAATATTACTATATTATATATATAAATATAGTATATATTTATTATATTACATATATATTATATAATATTTATATTATTGTATTAAATATATTAAATATAAATAATATATTATCATTATATTATATAATATATACATATCTTATATTATATTAATAAATATTATATTATATGTTATATATAATACAAATATATATTAATTAAATGAAAAAATTACATACATATCCGTTATAGTTTGTGTTATTATGGATGTACCGAATAGTTTCCGTTATTACCATTGTGTCTGTGTTTTTTAAGTCAAAACGAACATTTAAAAAAAAAAACGATTTTACCTTTTTTCAGTTGTTGAACAACCGAATTCAATGTATTTTATGTTGTTCAACAACTGAAAATACACCAATTTGAAAATTTACTCTTTTCGATTTCGATTTTGGAGGTGCTCTCTCTCTCTAAACACGCACAACTAACTTAGACTAGCAGGCAACCTCACCTTCTCTCTTCTCTCTCCTCCATCCCACTCACAAAGACCACACAAGTTACAGTCAATTCTCTCTCCTCCATCCCACTCATAGAGACCACACAAGTTACAGTCAATTCTCTCCCTCTAAACCAAACATTGCCTAGAACATGAGGCCAATCTAGGACGATACAGAAGAAATAAGAAACCAATCAATCCGCGAAGACCGTGTAATAAAATTCACAAGGAATCTGAAATATGAATCCTTCTCCCAACCTCAATGGATTATCCATTTTTCTCTCTCTCTCTTGAACACAACCTGCAGGCAAAACACTCAGAAATGCCAATTGGCATCATAAAGCAAGAAAAGCCAAAGCAACCATTGAGCTAGAGAACTAAGCAAGAAAATTAAAGCGGCTCTCTCTCTCTCTAAACAACAAGCACTAAACTAATCCCCCATATCTCTCTTTCTAAACAAGCACAAAACCAATCCTCTCTCTCTCTCTAAAGAAGCACAAAACCAATCCTCTCTCTTTCTCTTACCAAAAGCCTCGAAAATCTCCTTGAGCTTCCCCATGGTGACCTCCTCCGCCAAATTGAACACTAGCGGGCCCTGATTCTCCCCCTATCCGCCCCCTCCCCACCCCGCCCCCACATACTACACCCACATTGCCCTCCAAAATATCACCCCATGCCCTTGACGTTGGCCAACCCCATACCCAAACCATCACCGCATGCCCCTGACCCTGACCCTGACCTTGACCCTGATCCTGGCCAACCCCATCCCCAAACCCTTGCCCCGCCGTAGTCGCCCTATGCCACATAGCAATACGTGCCTGGTGTGCTACATGTTGGGTCTGTATCTCTGTTAGAGGGTGCTGAGCATGCCATAGATCGTAGTAATGCACATCCACCAAACCCTCCCTCATTCTCCATATGCAGTGCCCTCAACGACCCGTAGACCTCCAATTCCTGCCTCAAAGCCGCCTCACTTGCATCGATGGGCACCGAGCTAAGCAGCAGGGTTGTGTGTCGCTCTTTCCCTTGCCAAATGACCACCGGGTGCGTGTCGCTCCTTCCCTTGCCAAATGACCGCCGCCACCGCCCGCCTACCCATAACCAAAGACGGGCATTACATAACTGTAGAGTTATTCAAAAATCGAAAAGCCTAAATTTTCGGTTCTTGAAGAACCGAAATTGATGTATTTTCGGTTGTTGAAAAAAGTAAAATCGTCTTTTAAAAAAACTCCTATTTGACTTGAAAAAGATAGAGACGATGGTATAACGGAAACTATTCGGTACATCCATAATAACGCAAACATAACGGATATGTATGTAATTTTTCCTAATTAAATATATAAAATACATTTTATCATATTACATAAGAGCAATGATCCAATGCAACGGTTGTATCATAGTATAATGCAATGACACTTCTAGAAAACCATATTTGTGGTATTTGTATGACCCCAAATTTTGTACACACACTCTCTTCATCTCAATAATTAATTCCCTAAAAAACAACAGTTCAATTTGAACCCTAGATAACGTCAAAATTAGTCTCCTCCAAAAGCGAATCTAGACCGTTCATTTTGTGAATTTCAAGATGTTAGCCGTTATAAACTCAAAATCATTTTATAATAAAGCCATCCAAAAAAATCAGAAATGAAAAAATCCTTCTAAGCCCTAGATCTAAGCATCTCACAAAAATGAATGGTCTATGTTAATTAAGCTAAAAAAATACTTTCTAGGTTATGCTTTCAATTTTTTCTTTTTTTATGATTGTTCATTAGAATGAAAAGAGTGTGTATTTCAAAATTTGGATCAAACATATGGCCATGAGATGGTTTTTTTAAGATTGTTGCATCATATTACTATACAACGATTGCATGAAATCATTGCCCATTATATAATATTATATATTATATATTATAATTATATTTTTAATATATATTAAATATATTAAATATAATAATATTATATTATTATATATAATTTATATTTATTATATATTATAAGCAAATTCTATTGAATCACTGAAAAATTAAAATTCCATAATTCTATATTTGTTGTGAGATTACTGTAGGGGTTAGAAACACATGTAACATCTATTATATCTTGACCATGAAATTGGCGTGTAATTTTGTTGGTGATTCATTCTCTTCCATACCTTTCTACTATGGATTATGGAAAATCCCAAGACTGTTCCGTGAAAGCCATGGTTAATCCCTCAATTGTGAATTTAGTATTGTGATATCATTATCCCTTAGGATGGAGATTATCAGTAATACAATAGATCATACTCGATGCCTTTGCTGCTTGATTGCTTAGAGAAAGCAAATATGTTGGAGCTTACAGATCATACCCGATGAATAAAATCTTAAGATTTTTTTATGGAAAAAATGTA